GGTGCCTTTCCTTCTGGACCCTAAGTTTGAGGCCCCGTGTGACATCCAAGGATGCTCGAGTTACCTGGTCAAGGGCTCAGGTGGGAGACCGGGCGAGACTCCCAAACAATCCCAATAGGCAGAGTCAGGCCGTGGGATGGGGAGGGGCAGCTGGGGCAGGCTGGCGTGGAGATGGGAGAGCAGGGGAGGGGAGGTGGGTGAAGTGGCTGGAGCCTGGGTGAGCAGAGCCGGGCAGGGCCAGGAGGAAGCTGCGGCCCTTGACAATGCCACAGCCTAAGAGTTGGGATGTGTCTGGAAGGCCAGGGGGTCATTCGTTCATGCATCTGTTCACTCCCTCCCTTGTTCCCAGGAACACAGGGTGTAGCGGCGAGGTGCTGGGGTTCCTAACCCAGCTCCACCACTGAGCAGTTCTGCGGCCTTGGCCAAAGCACCTCACCTCCCCCTGATTAACTGGGCAAATGACCTGAAGGCAGTGACTCAGCTTCCCCATTTGCGCAAGTGCGTAGCAATAACAGGGTTTAATAAGTAAATGCCTGCGACGCACTTAGACCAGTCCCAGGCACGCAGCGTGCGTGGGACTGAACGTTAGCTGCTGTCCCTCCCACTGGCCAGTTTCCGGGGCAGCGCTGTGCAGGGCCCGTGGGCACGGGGTCCAGCTGTGGAAACAGGCCTGCCCTCCACAGCTTGGGGTGTGATCTACACCCCCCCCCCCAAACCACCATGCAGCACAGTCCAGACTGTGTCAGGGAAGGCGAGTGGCTGCGAGAACACACAGGTTGGCCCTGTGCCCAATCCTGGGGGCCGGGGGGCGTCCTGGAGGACGTCACCTCCAAGCTGCATGGGGCAGACAGCGCAGTCCACAGCCGTGTCGCCAGGGCTTGGGGCAGGGACAGGCACACAGTAGGCGCTCAGTTTCGTTTATGACTGAGACGAGGGTTATCCGGAAGAAGGCAGGAGGAGAAACGACACAGGACAAATGCAACCACCTAGGCAAAGGGCAGGACCAGAGGCCGTTCGGGGCCCTGCGAAGGGCGGGAGCTGCGGGGAGGGGGGGTCACGGGCGGCGCAGAGGCCACCAGCGTCCTTATGGGCTCAGGGCCTCCTCCTCCTGCAACTCCCGCGGGCCCTGGGACGCCCAGGAGGGGCGAGGTGGCCACGCTGGCTGGGCCCAGGGACGGCTGCCTTGACCCCGGGCCTGCCTGGGGCCCAGCATCCCAGCCAGAACCCCCAGGGAGCAGGAAGGAGGACTTGGCCCCCAGCGCTGGCCCCGCCAACACAAACAGGGCCACCCACTGGACAGGAAGATGTGGAGAAGCCAAAGCTCAGGGGACCCAGCTGGCCTCGGGCTCCTCAGGAGCCTCCTGCTGTCCAGCCCCCGCGCCCCCAGCCGGGTCCCACTGTCTCCGTGTCCCCTCCTCTCCATCACCTGGGGCTGTGCGGGTCTGAGGGTACAGCAAGAGGCCTCCCGGCTTCCCCGTGCTACCCCTCTGCCCTGAAATTCCTTCATTTTTATGTCCCCTCCTGCATCCTTCAGATCTCTGCAAGGCCCCTTTTCCCTGCGTGTTCCCAGAGCGTAACCCTGTCACGCTGCTCCTGAGCCCAGTCCGTCTTCTGGAGGGCCAGGCACCGCAGCCCCGAGACACTGAATGAACGCGGGGACACGCCAGCCTGCAC